TTTATTCTTCTGCGACTGCATGTGAAGAGGTGTGGAAATTTGAGATGTTGCTAGACGAACATTTGAAGCAACTGGAACTGAAGTGCCTTTTCCTGGTTGACTAAATGCTTGGGCTGTTCTGTTACCACTTGATGGCACCCAGCCAGCCAAATTATTCTTACTATTCAGTTTCTGCATTACTTTATGCTTAATCTCGTCCCCATTCCAGATAACGTCATCCTCCCAGTGTAGTTGGGAGACCATTAAAAATGCATCATCTGCAAACGCTTCGTCTTCATCTTGCGGTCTCTCTGTGCCATTTGATGGATAATTTTTCTTTTCACTTATTTTGAATCCATAATTGAAGCCATCACCAGTTTCAGGCACTTCCAACATATCGTACCATATTTGTGCTGGTCCAAATCGCCAATCAGCAACTTTTGGCTCCATATCCCCATTGTCCCCGGACTCACCAGCCTTACCACCTTGCTCTTTATCCTCCATTGGTCTCAATAATTTCGCTTCATCGTCAGAGGCAATGACCTCCGGTGGGGCCTCTTGGCCATAATTCATTTTCCAACCTTTGAACTTGAGCCTCCTCTCGTCCTGATCTGAACCAGAATCCGAGTCACGTGTGTCATGATGCCTTTTCTTCTTTCTTCTCCTTCTAACTCCTCGCCAGATCTGTGGGAGACTGCTTGGCTTGCCAGGGCCAAATAACCGTGAAAATCTGAGAACTTTGTTGGGGCGAAAATCTGGAAAAATTTCCGTTACATCAATATTGGCGTATTTTGAAGGTAACATTGATGCTAAGGGTGTTTCCAGTCTTCTCTGTCGAGCCGCCTCTGCCTCCTCGGGGGTCAAAGACTCTCTTTCCTCAGGTACTGGAGGTGGTGGCATCAATTGCTTATCCAATTTGTTCACATTCTCTTCGTCATCTGCATCGTAATCACTGCAATCTTTCTCTGTTTTTATCTTTCCATTTATTTCAACATTTTCTTCGCCTATTTCATCTGCCAATTCATTGATCTCCGAAAAATCCTCAGCTGTTGGGGATTTGTTTTGATAATCAATGTCATCTCTGTCATTTTCGTTCTCATTTTTAACGGTTACTTCATTATTTTCCTTCGACTTCTCATCATTTGAATCATGGGAGATCATTTCATCCAAGAATGAACCAAGACCCAGGCGACCGAGAGATGCCAAATGTTGCTTGGCATCATTATCCAGAATGTCATCCTCCAATTGACCGTTTTCATCGATATTACCGAATAAAAAACCAGTGATATTCATGCCTGCCTCATAATCCCTATCATCATCATCGGAGTCACCCATCATTTTTCAGCAGGTTTTTATCAATTCTTTAAATTATTTGTTCTTCATTAGAGAATCCTCAAGTTAGGTTAGCATGAGTCAGAATTGCATTGATACTTTTTGAATAAAACTTTATATGCTCAATTATATAAAATAAATTAAATTGGAGTACATTTGACACTGTAATTCCACACCAGAGCACTGTTTTTCACGACATAAAACTTGGATCGAACTGAACAGGATTATGAAAAAGCGGCCATTTTAAACGCAGCAACTACTACACCAGTGACATTTTCCGTTAGAACTGAGAGAATGCATCGAATCTCATCCATTCAGCACTCAGCAGTGTGAAGCAAATGAAGTTCTCATGAAAACGCAACTTCATC